TTGCGAGACGTTATTCTAAATGGGTGGCCAGAGACAAAGAAGCAGCTGCCGAAGGAGCTAACACCCTGCTTCAATTTTCTTGGTGAACTCTCTGTCTATGATGGCTTGATGTTCAAGAGAACCCGTATTCTGATTTCGTCATCGCTCCGAGGAGAAACGCTGAGATACGTTCATTGCGCTCACATTGGTGTCAACTATGCCAGTAAACGAGCAAGCGAATTGATATTTTGGCCAGTAATGACGGGTCAAATAAAAGATCATAGACTGGATCATATGGCCTGCCGTCCACACGAAATCCGGCAGAGGAGGGAACCAATGAAGTTGCATGATGTCCCTGCTTGACCATGGCAGAAGGTGGCAGTGGATTTATTCACTGATAACGGCAAAGGTTACTTACTCACGGCACGTAACTATAGTGATTAGTTTGAGATCGATCTACCCACCACTACGACCACAGAAGCAGTAATCAACAAGCTCAGACGTCAGTTAACTCGGCACAGTATGCCGGAGTAGCTGATCTCCAGTAATGGGCCCCAGTTTACCAGCAATGCTTTCCAAGCGTTCACAACCAAGTGGGAATTCGTGCACCAACCAATCAGTCCATATCACAGTCAAAGGAATGGAAAGGCGGTATCGGCAGTGAAGCAGGCCAAGCGACTGTTGTCAAAGGTTGGAGCAACTGGCGAAGACCTGTACCTCATGCTACTGAAGAATCGTAACACTCCTTCAACGAATATCGGTTTGAACGCCGTGCAGCGGCTACACAGCCGAAGGACTAGAACGCTGCTGTCGGCATCTGCCACACTTTTGCGCCCAGTTTCGTCACAGCACGAACGATTACAGAACACTCTGAGACGACGAATGACCACTCAGAAACGGTACTATGACCGCCGTGCACCGGTACTGCCTGAGCTAACAGTGGGGGAAGAAGTGTGGGTGCAACCATTACCCGATAGACAAGAGCGGTGGAAGAAAGGTGTGGTGACTGCGAGGGTCAGTGCAATGTCACACGAAATAAACGTTGGAGGGAAAACGTTCAGAAGAAATCGAGTGCATTTGAGACGACACCTGAGACAACAATGTGGATTGGGAGTGAAGTGGCAGGTGGCGTGGGGCGAAGAGACCACGGCCGAAGCTACAGTGAATACCACGCAGAGTGGCAAGGTGTATGGGGTGGATAGAAATATGGAGGCGCAAGAGCACTAAAAATGTAAGGATGGGATGGTGGCATAAAATCAGAGTGAGCAGATGGACCACCCGAGCGAGCCAGACAGCCAATGGGAAGCGAATGTGATGATTCGTTTACTGGACTCGACTTGGCCGATATTCGTGTGAGTGATTCACCGTTTGTTTAACTGAAGCAAAGAAGGGTCGTTAGTTATGGTTTTGAACCTACAATTTATATCGAGGAGTTTGGCTATAATTTTTGCTGAGCTATCTTTGGCGAATAAGCGCTTTTCCCTGAAGTACTGTGCTCTGCAACTCCACCAGTTGACGCTTATCAACATATGAGAAAAGGACAGAGGCTAGTTTCACTACTCTCCAAACAGACCTACCATCAAACGGAGCGTTTCCTGCGTACTTATTGCTTGGTGTATGCTACTTAAAATTACAGACATTCAACTCCTGGGAAGAAAAACCGTACCTTCACGACTACGGAGTTGGAAACTATATATGACTGGAGACTGCTGGAACTAGCGGGCAAGTGCAAAATAAACCAAATTCGGTTATCCGGTGATTATCCATGCTACTTACTTAAAATATCCGACTTTCTATTTGATTGCCAATGAATTCAGTGATGAAGGAGGTCATACTAGGCAATAGCGGCTTCTACCCCGGTCTAACCTCTTCGACTGACATTACAATTACTTGTGAGTACATGGCTTTTAGAATGCGTACCTGTGTGTTGTTTTTAGTTAGAGAACAAACTCAAGTATCGTAATGTATTAGGTCACCCTAAAGTATATCGATGGAAAGCGTACTACTGACGAGCTGCAAGGGAAAAACGACCGTCTGATACTTTTCCGGATTAAAAGTCGGCCTTTCTGGCTTGTAGTCCGATTGCCATAAACTAAATAAGACCTCAGTAAATCCCCCTACCATAAGTAATGAAAAAGGAGCCCGAATAGCCTCCGGAATACTGTGTGGATTCACGACTACTGATAGGGATGTCCTGACATCTGAGTTGCAAGCACTGTCCTCTGCTCAGGCAAGTACCTGCATGGCAGTAGGGATTGGGTAGCGCTCTATCGCAGCTAGATGTCAAACCATAATGGTCAGCTATCGTCTTCCATGGCCCAGTGATAAACTTTGTTGTAGTGGAAACAACTAGCAGTCATGGGATCGGTCCTTTGAAGGAGATCGAAAATACCAGCACCACTGATGAGGACAAACGGCTCTCTGGTGCTTTTCAGGATAGGCAGTTAACCTGTCTTATACTCTGATTGCGATGAATTAAATAAAACCTCACAAAACCCATCTACTTATGAGTAATCTGAAACCCATTTTGCATCGCAGCACGAACCAACTCCGTATTTGTCCAGCCCTGCTTCCTCCTAGTTGGATAATATGTTTCACTGACTGACTTTAACTGATGACGTTTGTCGTCGATCCTCTACTCCCCCATTGCAGTTCCTATACTTAAACCGATTATTTTGACACGCCCAAACTAGCGAACCAAGAAAAGCCTTCCGATGAAGGACAGAGTGGCAAGATAGGAAATACCCTGGCATCTCCTGACACATTAAATATTTACATTATGCGAACAATCTAATCCACAACAGACAACTTGAGGACAAACTTTTCTTGTTTACGGAAGGATGTGAATAGTGGTTAATATTTTTAGATGATTAATACGCTAGGTTGAGCTTGCTGTTTCGAAGTATTAACTGCCTACAGCAGGGTGAAGGTCCGTTCTTTCCTGCTTTATCCAAGAAGAACTAAAGTTATTTCTTTGATTCCATACTATCCCAAGCGACGTCCTGGATAACGGTTCCTCATACAGTCGGAAAAGGCAAGAATACTTTGTGTGTTCAGATCTGTGTTTAACTGGTATAAATGTGTGATAGTTAGTATGAATACTTGCCAGTTCATGTTCACTAATATTACTTGTGGCATCACGACAGACTGCAGGTTGAGCTGCGAGCGTCTCCAGATTGATTTATACTATTCTTAGATAAATCGACAAATGACAAGAGTGTGTATAGTTTTCCTGCATTGTGTTGAGTTGGATGAAGCTGAAGCACAGCAAGAAGAGGCGGTGGGATTATCAGCTAGATGGGATCAAGCCACTGTGTTTCATTGTCTCAGGAGCAATTTGCAAGATGTCACACTGGTTGCTAGAGCGGCCCGCAGCCACGCGTTCAGCCATACTGTACGGCTGTGAATTCTGGCATCTCAGAGCGACAGATATAAAGAGGCTTGTTACCTTCAGTCATCTCTACCTTCGCAGCTTAGCTCATATCTGGTGGGAACATGGCGTGGGCAATGAGCGCTTTCACTGTCACCTATTCGGTGAAGTAAGCGCGAGTGGACAGCTCAGCACCGTTAGACCACTCACCAGGCTCCGACGACTGGGCTACTTGTAGCGTACGCTAGTACACCGACTCTCGAAACGTCCGTTTTTTGGGCGACCGGGGTCTGAATGGAAGCAGAGAAGGAGAGGCTAAGCGATGACTTGGTCAAGAAGAATGAAGTCCCTCACTTCTAACACTGCGTCGGTTTGTACCTCTCAACTGGGGAGCCTGGGTTCCAAGGACGATAGACGTTTGATTGGATACACCTGTTGACATGGCTAGGATCCAACCACATGGGTGTTTGTGTTGTGAGTTTCTTTGTCCTTCCCTCTCCTGCTTAGATTCCTCTCCAACCATGGTCTCACACCCGATGCGTATGATAATACTAAGCATCATACTACTTAGCTTTCTTATTTTTATTTTATTCTCTAATATTTTTTATTCACTTTCATATATCTTTGGTATTGCGACACATTAGCTGAAGTGTGTTTCGCACCAGCAGTTAGCGTGTAATGATGATGATGACGATGATGATGATGATGAAGTGTGGTCCGCTGTCCCTTGATTCTGATTACTGGCTATTTTACCATTTTAAATTCCCCCTTTCTTATCCGTTTGTTTGCCAGTTGTCATCTATGTTGTTATTGCAGCGATACCAGCTGAATACACTGTCCCGATTGCGCTTGGAAACTCAGGAAATATGTGCTGAATTTGATCAAACTATAAACACTGGATATAGATATTTTCTTATTATTCAGCACACAAACACTTCTTTCCGTTACTAACCGTAATATCCCACGACGCAATTTTCCGTCTAACATACTTTAGGGGCCAAGTCTTGTTGTCCGACGATATGGGACTACCGCATTAAGTAGTCATCGAACCAGTTTAAACTGGGAATCATCTAACTCGATGGGCTTTTAGTATATGCGGGACGTGATTGTAGTCAACATTTTTACTTTTTTCAATATGACACCAATAGTTACCTAGCGGATGTGGACCGAATGCAATGTTGTATTTTCCGCTCTGCTACTGCAGATGCACTGGAATTAAGCACACCCGTAAAATCTCCGCATAGTTATGGTCGTCAAGGGAGATGGTAGCACGTGTTGGAAAAATCACGCTGGACGTACGGCTAGTCATTGCAGTTCCTATCCAGATGGATTTCTATCTTGTCATGAGCTACCTTCTCACTTCCTTGAGTTAGTAAGTTTAAGTCTATATATAAATCAATGCAAATCAAATTTCACAACAAAAGTGTCACTCAGTGGCTCTGAGCGGAAGTTGCGATCATGTGTTTCTGCTAGCAATACCAGGTATGGAGACAGACCAAGACCAGGGCCATTTGCACTTTGATACTTAAGTAATCTCCTCGTTGTTGAACATCAGCTACCGAGTGAAAGTTCATAGCAATCTTATACGGAAGACCACCCTTTACTGTGGTGATAACTCATACCATCTGACCAACTGCGCATCTCCGTTTAGGTAGTAAAAAGTGGACGTGCAGTTTTCATGGACTCTGTTCCGTCGGTCAACTCAAGTGATGGTCGTGCCTACGAGAGTTCCATACAAAGTGAAGACGAAAGACCGGGGCCGTTTGATACGACGCATATTCCGTGGGACGGTTATTGTGCGAACCTGTCTAATGGGAGGACAGCTGAATACACTTCGTTGCACATGAGTTCCGAAGCAACTCACTGTATCCACCGTTCGATCCTTCCTATCACCAGCCCTAATCATCGACGTGTTGGTGCGCTCGTTGTGGAACAACCTGGTCCACCGCACAATCAACAGATTTGGAAACAGGATCTTCGGTTTTATGAGGTCAGTTGACAAGACACTGGGGTTAGTTTCCTCATCCATGTCGACGAGCGAATTTCAGTAGACAGATCCAACATATATTCAAGAGTTGTGCTATTGAATATTGCCGTACTTTTCCACAGAGCGACCTATTTTCCTTGACACCGGTTTACAAACCTGTCTGTGTTGATAAGCATGTCAGTAACCTGGCTTAACAAAATGAGTTTAGTGTAGCACAACAGTTTAACAACCGCACTGCATGACAAATATGTGCATATTGTGGCTTGACTCAAATGTTGTTGTCGCAAGAGTGGTGAACACGTTTGTGTCTAGTTGTCGTCGAATCGGACAATTGTGGGTCAATGACGCAGCTAGTGGAATAACAGAACAACACGAATTCTCGATGAATCTAGTATGGTGGCACACAAACTTCGATGTTTTTTCAAAGACAAGTGCACATGAAGGCGACACTAATCAATTCGTGTCATGGTTACCCATAGTTCAAACATGATGCTGTGTTCATCGCCGCAGGCAACAGCAAAAGGTTAAGCAATCAGTGTCCTGCGCTGCAACAATAACTCCTCCACGAAGCACAGCCATAAGTGGAGGGCAAAGTTTAAAGTTTTTAATGCAGAATTGCCGAGTAATCGAAAAGTGTTATGGCATAAGATATATCTAAGGTTGTAGGATCGTGTGTGAACGGCGACCCGTGCTACTTTCTGCTGACGAGTACACGCAGCATGAGACAACCACAGAAAGGAGTGACCGTCTATGTCTACGGGTAGAATAGCTACGAGGAAGAGTTACACTAACTGAGTAAAAGGCAAACGAGTTCAGTGTGGGCGCAATGTCATCTCACAACTAAGGTTTTTTTGATTTTCCTGTTTAAAAGTATGCCGTTGACAATAGAACAACGAGTTTACCACAGATAAAAAGTAACGCTTAAAAATGTCCGTAGGTGAACAGTGAGGCCAAAAATTGTGTGTACTAAGAAACCAACATTTGTGTCGCAATTTGCATGTGTCCCCACAGATTGGTTACGTAGTCTCGTGTCCCAGTAGCATCGGTATTGCAGGCGGTGCAATGTATTATCAACTAGAGTTTAGAATTTAGCAAACAGAAGCGATGGCAGAATACGGGAACCAGTTGTACAACAAAGATACACCAATGGAGAAATAGTTCCGGGGGCGTCCCAAATGATATTGTGTGGCCAACTTCCGACGGTGGCCTCTTAGTGATGTGTTGTGGCTTACTTTCCATATGTGTCGGCATGGGTGGTTAGCATCTTTGAGGCTCTGATACATCAATATAAGATCCCAACGATATTATGCACTGAAAATCCACGGGGTCTTCAGTCTAAACAGTTAATGGAGGTGAAGCAAGCTGTTAACATTTTTAGCCGCCCTCCGTTGTGGGTTCTTAAGAGCGGCAAGGACAGGTTTTCGTCGAAGGCGCAACACCTGATTGACGTATTCTGCAAGTGGCTTCAAATAAGCGTTAGAAATTATCAAAAATGGAGCTTAAAGGACCAAACGCTTTCCGCAGTAGGCTTAAGTGTTAGCTAACCTCTTCCACTGCTTTCTCGGCCTGTCATGAGTATCCGAGATAGTCCAGCACGAGCTTCCGAAGATCAATCTCATGGAAATGGCGCTGCAGAACGCGTAATTTTATAGCTGATATTCGTAGGTCCATTGGTGGCATATAGAACAATGGATGCTTAGCAAGCTCCGTAGGATGGCCAAAATGAGAACCGCAGCAAGGTGAAAAGAAAACAAACTGAGAAAATGAAAATTGTTTTGGTGGACTCGCCTCAATATGCACACATAGACATGCAAAAAGGAACCGACCTCATTTGTGCAGGTTAGTGCTGGTTGTGCAACGTTCGTCACATTAAGTCCTCTGTCGATGTATACAGGCCATATCTCGAAATGTCCTTGGGTTAAGGCAACGTCAAGGCCTATTTTAGATACAGATAAAGTGAAGGCTGAAACAACGTGATTTATGTGGGCGTTCCATAGCTGGCACATACATCTGACGGCGTTAACCTATATTACCTCATGAACTGACCAATCGTAATCCCTTTTAAGATACAATTGCAGTGCTATGTGGTCGTCTACTCTGTTGGCTGCCCAACACATATTAAGCCCGTCCGTAAAGATAGCAAGTTTGAGTTCAGCCCTGCTGCGTGGTCATATAAGAAAGTTAGACCAATCAGTAATCCTTGTACCGAGAAGTAAGGGACGTCACAGTGCACTTCTAGCGGGCCAGAAAAGTCACTACAAACTCACATCTTCAAGAGGCATTGGAGTAGAAATGAGAGTATCCATCACAGAATAGAGTCAAAAAACCCATAGCTTCGATACTTGTAAACCGGAATGCGGCGATCTTCGCCATCAAAACATCCCATAAATCTAGGTAGGCGACTTCGGCTCCTTCTCCAGCATTGACAGATTCCGCTCGGTTTGCAATGGCTAAGGAAATGTTCCCGGTACATGAGCGGTTTCGACAGAAGCCGTGCTGCTCCAGCACTAGGATGTGGCATCAATCCAATTACCTCACGACTGCTTATGCAACGACAGATTCAGTGACTTTGGCAAGCACCAGACAAAGAGTACTTGGGCGGTAGTTAAAGGACAAACAAGATTACTCTCCATGTAATTAAAGGTGACTATTCCACACTTATACATAGTTAGAGCTTGCTGCTCATCGCGATGCTAGAGAAACCGAGAAAATGGTTCAGCCGGGCTCGTGGCAGCTCCTTCTAATTACTTGTGGCATAGGTGGTCCTGATCAGATGAACTGTACACGCTTAGTGACTTCAGGCGCTTTAGCATATCCTCGGTTGGGAAGAAGATGTGGATAGGTCCTTGTGGTGACGAAATTTGTACCTGAGTGGTATGAGACGGCGGCGCGTTCTGGAAAGTGCAGGCGAATTCATGACGACAAACGTTAGCTGTTTCTTGCACAGATTGCCTTGGCCCACATGCAGTGTTTAGAGCAAGGATGCATAGCTGTACTTTGCGGACTATGTTCACATATTTTTGACCTAATTTCGGATTGGAGCAGAACATCTACGCCTAATTCTGCTAGTGTTTTAATAGGTCCTCGATGACCAGCCTGACGCATTATTTGCGTCCGGTTATGCAGGCATTCAGTGTTCGGTGCTTTGCTTAACTTTGCATGCTTGCCAAGATGGATTTCTTAAGGTCAACCGTCCCCGCGCCATAGTACTCAGGAAGAACTTCACAATGTTTGAGCTAAATTCCTTAGTCCCTGATGAATTTGTTATTGATGTGATGAACTGGTTGACGACTCCCACTGAGCGACATCAGGATGTTGTCTAGCTAGAAATAAATCAGTTGGTGACCTGAATGAAATCAGAAAGAAAGCTGTGATGTATTGCGGTACGCAGCTGCTCTGTGCCCTCGTTGAGGTTTACTGCATGATTAACGCAGCAATGTTACTTGATCGCTGATCTCCAGTGTGGTACTCACTGTTAGTGTGTTGATCGTAAGCTCCTCATTGTGAATATGAAGTTAAAAATGGCTGGTTTGTTCCCTGTTCTGAAGCTCGTAGGAGAAATAACGTGATTACGAAATTGCGGGTCAGCGACTAGATCTTGCAATTCTGCCTTAAACTCTTCACCAAGAGAGGCAAGAACTCCTGGAGCATGAAATTTGAAACCTACACACAGGATAATGTGGCTGCAAGTCTGAGCCAGAACAGATTTCAGAACAGAAGCTAGACGGCTGTCCATTTCTAGAGTAGACATTGGAAAACTGTATACAAGGGCAGCTAAGTATGTGTCGCCAAGTCTTACTTGCTAGTGGCAACAAATATGGACCACTTCATAAATCACTGGATCATCAATGATTTGCAAATGTGGATCACAGTAGTGGTACAAAATTATACCATATACATTAATGGGAAGATAAACGGATATGTCTATTAGAGAGATCTCGACATCAGTGATTTCGTCACTCGGTCAAGGCTCAGCTATCATTATCAGGTCCTAAGACATTGAGGCTCGAGGGGATTGAAGTCAAGTCTTCAAAACTCAAACAGCTTGCTGAAGAAGCTCTGTGCATTGGTGTACATACAGGAGAGCGCTTCGAATGTAAGAAGCCGATCTGAGGGTACCAGTGCCTGGTGCTAGCTTTGCCAACCATTTTAAGGTCAGCATCCAAGGTTTTATGGGAACTGTTTGCATTAAACTTTGAGACACTTCATATTGGCCGACAGAACTTCACAGGATGAAGTGCCTGCTTCAGTAAATATTGAGAAACTCGGTGCTTCTTCAACGAATGGTCCGCCCCACAACAGTCCTCGTAGGAAGTAAAACTTACTTGGGTCACTGACAATCTCCGAGGACTTTGCTCTCTGTCGGTCAACTGGGGCCTGGTGTGGAACGCCCTTAGTCCTTTCAATGTATCTCACCCTTCATGTACTTGGATTGGAAAATAAATTACATCACCCTGGGGTCGCATACTTTGGAGCATGATGACGATGGTTGCCCTGAAATCGATTTAGTGCTACGTTGTCCGGTGAGAAAGCTTGAAGAATGTAGCGCCAACCCACCCAAACATAAACATAAGCTTAATGTTCATCAGGATCTTCAAGCTCTGGGATACCAACGAGGACAGACGTTTCGGCATTCAGATGGAAATATCATCAGACTACTGTTTCCTAGCTGACGCTGGCTCCAAGGAGCGTCAGGGCAAATTCGAATGTAATATGAGTCAGCCCGAAGAGAGCTGACTAACAATGGACCCAACACATATTTGTTTGCTGATTGTAACGTTATCTGTAGAAGTCGTGGTCACCATGATGAATAGCTTTTAGGTGCCGTACGATGCGCACCACGATTGATTTTATTTCATGGACGCCTATTGGCACACATAAGAAGTCCCACTGTTTTCGATGTTTCAGCAGACAATCTTTTCTAGAGTTTGCACTAGATTCGAAAACACTGGAACATACGATGGTCAGTGACTCAGGGCTCGCCTGGAATTAAGCAGTTTGAG